GAGTTGTGAATGTATGATATCTAAGCTTTATAAAATTTTAGTTATTGATATAACATGTACCGTAACATAGACAGTTGAGATTTTTTTTATAATAAATTAAAAAATAAACAACTTAACAATTCGACTCGATCCGACCCAACTTCAAAATAGAAGATTTCTAGTTCGTTAAGATAAAAATAAAAAAAGCAAACGTTTGAAAATAAAATAATATAGTCTTGAAAAGGAAATGAAGGACTAAATTGCAAAAATAGCCCTAATAAACCTTATTTGGGAAATTCAATATTATTTTGGTTGGGCTCCACAAATCCAATTCAAAACTATTTTTAATATCATTTTTCCTTAAAATATCATCTTTAATATTCCTTTGAACACTATTTTTTTTTTTAATTATTATTATTTATCTCTTTTTTGACATAAATAACCCCACCAAATGGGAAAAGAAAAGTCCCATTTTGGACTATTTGGTGTATGTTTTGGGCAAAATAATGATTTGTGTAGGACCCCAAATGGTAATTTTTTACCTAAATTTGTCAATAAAAAAATATATAAAATATTTTTCTTATTATTATTGAAGTCAAAATAATTGGAATATTATTTCTTAAAATAGAGAGATTTTGATATAAAATATGTCAAAATTTTGTTGGAAATTGGCCCAAAAGAGAAGTTCTTGAGATTATTCAAAGCTTAGACAACCAATAGAAAATAATATTAAATAATTTAAATTAAATGAGTGGTATTTTTAATTTTAAAAATATTATATATTAACATAAAGTGGATTCAAAAGATTTGGTGACGTGTTATGAATCTCTATGGGGACATGACAATTTTTAACTATATTATTTATGTATACGTCATATTATTTTTTATAATATTAGAGTTGTACTGTGTGTTGGGTCGGGTTGAAAAAAATCGTTTAAAGAATACGTCATAATATTTTTTATAATATTAGAGCTGTACTGTGTGTTGGGTCGGGTTGAAAAAAATCGTTTAAAGGTTGGGTTGAGTTGTAGTCATGTTTCAGGTTAACCGGACAAAAGAACAATATTAATCCGCGAGCTAACCCAAATTTTCGTTTTTAAAAAATTAAACCTAATCCAAATCGGAAAATAAAAAAATAAAAAAATTGGGCATGCTAATTTACCAAAACAACCCCGTAATTTTAATATATTGTTCTTTAATAATAATAATTTGAAAGGAAAGCAAGGCACCGACAATATCCTTTAATTCAATTATACATTTTTGTTAAATAAAATAATAATGAAAAATTACCAAGCTTCCTTTAAACACACATTCTAACATCAAACAATTCTATTTTTCTTTAAAAAAAAAAAATACATTTTTATTATTTAATTATGACGGACGAGAAGTTAACGATTATTATATATGATAATTTATGTTTTATTCCCTAAAATTGCTCGTATTAACTAATAACTATACGGGTCGAGAATATTTTTATTTGTATATAGGTTGGTTAGTCTTACAAAAACCTTATAAAATAAACTTAAACTAACGTTGAAATGTAATAATAGTAATAATAATAATAAATTTAAAGAAGTAAAAAAAAAAAAAAAATGAAATAAACCTTATGATTTTGATGTACAAACTAAAAAGAAAACGACCGTTTTCTAACTTTTTAAGAGGTGGATACTACTGAAATATTGTATCTTAATTAGTAAACAAAACTCGAGATGTCTTTATTATTATTATTATTATTTATTTTATTTTTTTACATATTTTTTAAATTAAAAGTAGGGTTGGGTTTCGATTTTAAGGGGCGATATTTACTTTTAGAAAAGCATATAACTTTAATTTTCACCTTTATCTTTTTTCCAATTTTATGTGTTAATTTATTAATATTAGTCGGGTACCTAACTCAAACCTGTACTAACTTCTTCAAAGTGCGGAGCTAAATTCTTTAACTTTTTAAAATAATTTTTAATTACTTCCATTTTTAAAAATATTATTGAAAATGAGTCACACATTTTAATTAAAAATTTAAAAATAAGTAAAATAATATTTTACAGACTAAAATCTAACTAAAAAATAAATAAATTATAATAATAAATACAGTTTCAAAGCTATGCCAATAAATGGAGTTACATTATGGATTAATTAGAGTGTTTAATTATTGCATAATAATTAATTGCCTTACCGAGAGAGAGGCACCCAACTCAATGTAACCACGTGCCCTAAAACATATCGAAATAGATACTACGAAAAGATCAATAATAATAAAGGTTGGATATTTGAGTTAGTACGAGATTTTAGTTAATAATATGACATATATTTTAAATAAATATGATTTTTTAAAAAGTTAATCAGTCAACCATGGTTGTATATAAACTGTATTCGAAATATTTAGGTCATAAACCCAACTTAACCAAACAATAGAGGGTTGGATTGTGAAATTTACTCGAAACATTTAGGTCACCAACTCGACTCACCCTCAAGTTTTAATATAAGGTTAAATACCAAAATAATTTAAAGTATTTGAAATTATTATTTTTATATAATAAGGAAATTTTAATTTAACCCCAAAAAATGAATAATACCAAATGGGAATTCAGCTTTAGCCTTCAAGCAAAAGCCAAAAATGGACGTGGGTCCCACCCACAAAATTTATTATTTATTAAAATAATAATAATAAGGACATTTGGGACTCCCCAGTTTATCCGATTTGACCCTGAAATGTTCTGAAGGGTATTCATGTGATTTCGTACCATTTGCTTGGTTTTTTCGTCAATTCAGAACCCCTGCTTCTTTGGCAGTTATTGCTTCCGTTACCCACGCGCTTTTGGTTATTTCTTTATCCACTCGCCCTTCTGTTGCTAGAAAATATGAGCTTCACACGTTTACTGTCGATTGCGCGAGTACTGTTATTTTCTTACTTTCACGCGATTGGGTCCATCCTGTCAACCAAGACAAATCTCATCTCTATTTCTCAAATTATAAAAAAAAAAACATAATTTATTTATTAATTTTTTAGCTAATAATTCATGATGTAGTTACAAACTTATAAAAACTATAATTTTAAATACATAAATAGTTGGGATGGTTTTTAAAAATTATATTAAATTTAAAGTATTATTAGTATCCTAAATTATTTTTAAGGGAGATTTTTAATAATTTATATTTTGACATTAATAAAGGTGAAAGTCAAACGTTGAATTTGACTAAGTCAATAGGAGCCGAATTTAGGACGGCAGGAGACCAAAAAGAAAACAAAAAAAGAAACGGAAAAAAGAAAATTAATTAATTAATTAATTAATTAAGTAATAATCAATTAGGTCAACTTCCAAGTAACAATGCCACAAGCCAACCAATGGGAATTAAAGAAAGAAAGAGAGGTTACCGAATACCAGTACAGGCAGTTGGCCTCGTTATTCCCACGGGTAAAGTTGCCCCCGTGGAACCGGTCATCCGGTGGGCAACTCCGATAAACTGCCAGCTAATTTCTTCTGGCACCCACCGCCCACAGTAATTCATAATCAATCTCCAATCACCCCTTATCCTTCTGCCACGTGTTCAATAGGTTCAGCTGCTACGCCACGTTATGCTCTGTCACTCACTCACGCGCCTATGTGTGTTTCGAGAACCTCACGAGCTTTACGGAAAGCGCTTCTGAAAAGTCTATATTACCCCCGGAATCTACGAGTAAAGTAGCGGAAAAAGGTGGAGAAAATTGGACTTTGCTACGTAAGCATATAACGAACTTATGAAGGTGGGTGGAAACGAATCCTCTGCGGGTGGGCCGTTTCAACTTTCGTAAACACTCACGTGGGATTTTATGCCCTGGTCTTGGGATTACATCTGGACCGTTCAGATTGGATATGTGTGGACGGTGGGGATGGACCCATATGTGTATATATATTTTTTTCTATTTAAATGGCTCGTTCATATGGGGGAAAAGAATAAATCCTTTTCTTCTCTCTTTCTTTCATCCGACACAAACTCTTCGATTATACCGCTTATGAATTGACTATTTTACCCTTATTTTTTTTATAGTTTTTGGGAATAATTTTATTATATATTTCAATTCATTTGAAATAATTTTTTTAAAATAAAATTCTAATGTTTTCTTTCTCAAATAAACATAATTTTATTCTATCATTTTTTAAAAAAATATTTAAGATATTATTTTATTTTTAATTTTTTTTTATGATTTGATTAATATTATTTTATTTTATAATCCGAACCATATATCTAAGGTGGTCCTCGATCTTTTAGGAAGTTTTCTTTTTAATGTCATAAACTTCATAAATTATAATAAAAATGTTATAATGTCACAACTATATTTTGATAATATTAAAGTACCATAATATATTCACGTGTGACTTTTAATTTTTTCTTAATTATCACATTATCGTATTATCTCTAATTTGGATATGGTATCAATTTATTTATGTATTCCTCGTGCATTTTAGTGCTTCAATTAAATTTGAAATTTAGAATAAAAATGTAATATTTTGTTATTTATGGACTAATTGAAAATAAAACTCAAAACACAAAGGATAGAAACGGGTAACTTTATCAAAATCTTATAAAGAAATGTGATAGTTAAATTTTTTTTTTTAGTAAACTACAACAAAAAAGATTTGTGAAAAAAAAAAACTTTTACAAATTTTAAATTTTATTTTCATTGGCGAATAAATAATAATAGAAAATTATGACATAAAAAAAAAAAAAAAAAATATATATATATATATATATATTATTTTTTGAAATTAACTATAAATTCAAATTAGTTTTCAACTCAAATTAATTTCATAAAACAGTCCTGGAGGGGTAAAAAGGTAAAAACATCAACGGTAGGTAACAGAAACTCGGACGGAGAAAAACGCGTTTCGGCTTTTCGGGCGTTTGGTTGAACCACCTAACAACAACTGCTATCCTCGAATATATATTTTAATAATAATAATAATAATAAGAAAAAAAAAAAAAAAAAAAACTGATTGGGTGGGTTAGTTTTACATTTACTCATTAAAGCGTTTTAATATTCTTGAGGTATAAAAGTATAAATTATCCTGTTCTAGCAACTTTTTTCTGTTTTCTACGCCTTTCGCTCCCTTTTCTCCTCTCTTTTCATTTTCTACTGTTCTCTCCCTCCAGTTTCTCTCTCTTTCGCCGGTGAATCTCCTTTTCCTCTTGCCGGAAAAGTCCTCGACGTCCTCCAACTACCGCCGTCTTCCGCCTTAGAGATTCTCACTTTATTGCCGCTTGCGTGTTCTTGTCGCTTTCTTTCGATTCCACTCCAGAGCCTCTGGATCTCTGAATCTGACTCTCCTTCTTCTGGTTCTTCGCCTCTTTCGAGAATGTGGTCCGCCTCCTCCTCCTTTCGCCCTTGCACTTGACTGCTCCTGCCTGGATTGTGATCTAGGGTTTCGGTTTCTGGATTTCCGGTTTGTGTTTGTTATTGTATTGTTTTTTTTTTTTTTGTTCTGCGGTTGGTGCTGTTTCGGTGAAGTGAGCGAAGACGGAGGCGTGAAGGTAGAAGACGCAGCTCCGGGATGAGATAGTACGCATTTTGATTTTTTTGTTTGTTTGATTTATTGTTCTTGTAGTTTTTTTTATTTTTATTTTTATTTTATTTTATGGAATATTAAATTATTTTATTTTCGGTTTGAACTTTGACGAATTTATCTCTTTCTGTTTTACTTTTCAGATCTAGTACATTGTTCTCGTTTTGTATCATTTATGTAGTTTTCTAAATATATTTTTGTTATTTGTTTTCCTCTGTCCTCTCTGTTTTTTACGAGGTCAAAGAGTTGATTTCTAGTCGTCGAATTTGTATGATTGGAGAATTCGTCGTTGGATTTGTGCCAAGAAGTTTGCTGTAATACCGTTTCCGTTTCCGTTGACTTATTTAAGTTATTTTAGCTTTAATCTTTTCTTCCCTATATAGTGATTGGTCTAAATCTCCATTTTCGTCATCGTCGCTATTTATCCTAAAATCCTTGGTTATTGTTACACGTTCGTTGATGTGTATGATTGGACTTGGTAATTTCAAGAGACTTTTATTGGTTGTATCAGTTTAAATTTCTCAGCCAATAGATACGGCGACTAGTTATTTGTGTAATTATGGCGGATATTGGAAATTTCCGGCTTATTCGATTTTAGGACCATGCTATATTCTTCTTTAAGATTATTGATATATACGGCTCGGCGATGAAATTCTGTTGAGGGATATGAATAGTGTTACCGCGACCTAGATACGGTTCTTTGACTTTCATAGTATCATTAACTCGTTATTACCCGGTGGCTACCTGATATCCCTATGTCAAAGATAAACCACATAGGAGTAGAGTAGGTTGATCGCCTGGGGTTTATGATCCGTATTCCTATTTGTAGCAATCTAGTTTGCATGCATTGGAATGTGATCAGATGCATTGCGGTCATTTTCATGTGGTAATTTGATGCTTGGAGAATTTTATTTTACAGGAGTTCCTTTGCTTTGAAATTGCTTAGCTGATACTATTTTAAATTTTTACCTGGCTACTTTCTTAAATTAATACAAATTTCATTCAATTTCAAGGTTTTGATAGATAGAGAAGAGCCTGTACGTTACTGTTACTCGTTCATTAAACTTGCATTTTCCTATTTGATGATAACTGAACGTGATACGTTGGCTTTTGACAGGTGGAGGGAAGAATTTGCATATCGGGAGAGGACAGAAATGGGTTAGATGTTCTGTAGCGCAAGAGGCTTCAGCTAATGAATTGTGAAGCTACCAACAAAACTGCAGCTGTCAAGAAAATGATGAATAGAAGTGGAGGTGATGCTTTAAGGGCTTCACCTCCATGTGGTGTGAGATTACTTGGTGGCAATTCAGAAACTTTTTCTCGTTCAAGTGGCATGTCAAATGAGAGGGATGTCTTTTCGAAAAGGAGAGTAGATAAGTTTGAATACGATGATTTAGAGTGGACCGAGAAGATTCCAGAATGCCCTGTATATTCTCCGTCAAAGAAGGAGTTTGAGGATCCTTTGATCTATTTGCAAAAGATAGCTCCAGAAGCCTCAAAATACGGTGAGATACTTGCTTCCACCCCCTGGATTGTAAATGCCTTACCTGTTATCGTATTTGATTTTGGTTTATAAGTTGATTTTATCTTTAAGTCTCACTTTATCGTGCATGCACATATTTTCATGGAAAAATATATTGTCTTCTGGTTTTGTGTGATGAAATGATGTCTCTTATACTATTTTTAATGGAAAAATGGAACGCACTACTTGGTTTGGGAAAAAAAAGTACTATTTTAAAATTAGATCGTAATTCGCACACTATTGAATATAGCTGGTTGAGATTTGTATGTAATTGATGATACACAACCAAAAGATTTTTTCATGCAACGACAGAAGATAAAAAAAAGGGACATTCTGTCTTCTTAGAATTGATGGTGTGAATAACTTAATATGGTCAGTACGCAGTTGGATATTGTAAGAGCTAAGCAGGTTTTTGTCGTTTGGAATGGACAAAAGTATTCATTGAAATGTCATGAGGTTTATTTATGCCGGCACTATCTCATCTCATTATGTCAGACAATGCTTTTCAAATTGCAATTTGACATTTAAGCTTATTGAAAGGCCCATGGTATGAAAAGAAAATGGAAGAAAAAAGTTCATTCATGAGGGGCTTTGTTAGTGCGATTGTTTATGGGCATTTAAGCAACTCTGTTCTTGTTCTTTAGAAAGGAAAGTATAAGAAGGTAAAAAGAACCTCTGGGTGACACCCTCACCATTGTAGTGTTTCACATGGGATTCTTTTTGTTGGCATCTTTGGTTTTATTGCTTGATGATTTGCCAAGTCTTCTGCGGATGCTGCAAAGTTCGTTGACTTTGTTGGTTATGCAAATATTTAGGCTAGTTTACACACAATTTAATCTCCATCCTTACATATTAGTATATAATTTTTTTTTTTTTTTTTTTTTTTATTGGTGAGTTGAATTTTAAGTCATGTCTATGGTTGAACTTTTCTTTGTGGAAGTTGGTTTTCTAGCAACGGCGCATTTGTATTACACCAAGTTGGTTTTCACTGCTTAACTCATGGTTTCTGCTGAGAATTTCTGTTACCAACAATAAATTTGGAAGTAAATAAATATGTATCATATAACATGTACACATTCTTTTGTTATCATTTCCAATAAACATCAAGCAATTTAAGAGATAATTATCGGTAAGTATTTAGTTCTTTTTTGATATGATGCAATTATATTAATTCGAAGAATTCTAACCATAGAGCTAGACTTGATGCCAATCCCAAACCAATGACAAATGGATTAACGAATTTTGGTTTCAACTGCTTGCATATTCTAGAAACCATTTTCTTTTTGTCATTCCTTCCTAGCATAATATCATCTTTTGGTGTTCTGCTGTTCGTTGTGCTGGTGGGAATGCAACTGATACTTTTTTTTGTTAACTATACTGTAACTCTCAGGCATATGCAAGATTGTCTCGCCACTTGCTGCTTCTGTTCCTGCCGGGGCTGTATTAATGAAGGAGAAACCAGGGTTCAGGTTTACAACGAGAGTACAACCTTTTCGCTTTGCTGAATGGAATACTGATGATCAGGTTACCTTCTACATGAGTGGCAGGTGAGCATTTTTTGTGTACAAATGAAATTAGGATTATATCTCTGGTACTGAATTTGTAACCTGTCATTTTAGGAACTATACATTTCGCGATTTTGAAAAAATTGCGAACAAGATATATGCTCGTAGATATAGTAGTTCTGGATGTCTACCTGCCTCATATTTGGAAAAGGAATTTTGGCGTGAAATTGCTAGTGGGAAGACAGAAAGTGTTGAATATGCTTGCGATGTTGATGGTAGTGCCTTTTCATCTTCTCCAACTGATGAGCTTGGGACAAGTAAATGGAATTTAAAGGTTTTTCTCTTTCTTTATGTGAGCTAAATGGAAAAGGAGAGCTTAACAGATTAAGAATGAAAAATGCGTACATTGTAATTATATGTTTGTTATGCTCGTTAGCTTTTGAGTACCCATATTTTTGTAGACCATATTTGGAAAAGGAATTGCATGCTTCTGCATTTTACTATAAACTTCAGCAATATTCTTTTTATAAGAAAGTAATAATAGTCAACCAAGAATTTCACGTCTTAGAACATAGAAGTGACATTTAAAGATGTTGATTTGTTTGTCTTCTAAAACGTCAGCTTATTCTTGTGTATTGCATTATGTTCCAGAATCTTTCACGGCTACCCAAGTCCATATTGCGCCTTCTCGAAACTCCAATTCCGGTAGGGTGGTTGCTTTATGTATCACGCATCATCAGATGCCAGCACTTCATGCTTTAATGAATATTTTTTGGTACCTATAACAGGGAGTCACGGACCCCATGCTCTATATTGGAATGCTGTTCAGTATGTTTGCTTGGCATGTGGAAGATCATTATCTATACAGGTAGGTGTATTTATTTTATCATTTTAGGAAAAGATAGACATTTTTGGTCTATATTATAAGGTTTTTGTCAGTTTTTATTTGGCACCCTTTCGGTTTATGTTGATAGTTTTGAGCTTATGAAGTGACACCTTCTATCTCATGCTAGTCCTTCACCAAGTTAAATATTTACTTCTTGCAGTATTAATTATCATCATTGTGGGGCATCTAAAACTTGGTATGGCATTCCTGGTCAAGCAGCTTTGCAGTTTGAAAATGTGGTCAGGGAGCATGTATACACTAGCGATATCTTATCCACTGGTGGAGAGGATGGAGCATTTGATGTTCTTCTGGGGAAAACAACGTTGTTTCCACCAAGTATTTTGTTGGATCATGAGGTGCCTGTATACAGAGCTGTCCAGCAACCTGGGGAGTATGTAATTACCTTCCCCAGAGCATATCATGCTGGATTTAGTCATGGTAGGTAATTCTAGACTATGTTTTTTTTTTTTGAGTCATTTTCATTTATTATGATTGCTGAATATTTGTTGTCCTTTTAATTTCCCCCCTCCCTTAAAACGCACAGGCTTCAATTGTGGTGAAGCAGTAAACTTTGCAATGGGTGATTGGTTCCCTTTGGGAGCTGTTGCCAGCCAGCGGTATGCTCTTCTAAACAGGATGCCTCTAATTCCTCATGAAGAGCTTCTATGTAAAGAGGCAATGCTTCTCTACACAAATTCAGAATTTGAAGAGCAACATTATGCGTGTGTAGAGTTAGACTCTCATTATTCTGTTAAGACTTCTTTTGTACGTATGATTCGCTTCCAGCATCGTGCTCGATGGGCTTTGATGAAATCGAGAACGTGCACTGGCATTTCACCAAATTGCCATGGAACCATCCTTTGCAGCTTATGCAAACGTGACTGCTATATATCATATATTAACTGCAGTTGTTATGGACATCCAGCGTGTCTTCGTCATGGTATGCTCATCTCACTTGCTAATTTAATTTAATTTATTTTTGGGCCAATATCATGTTGAATTTAGAAATCGCTGGTATTATCAAGGATGCTTCACAAATGTGTTCTCTTCCTTGCCTTTGGCTGTGTTCATCTGTTGAATCACGAGTTAATTGCAGAAAGTATTTTCTTTCGAGAGAATTGTAGTTTAAATTACTAGTTAATTCATTTTCCATGTGATGTTATAGAACACGTTTTATGATTTATGCTTTTGGTTGTTACTCATTACTTGATTTCCGAACCAGATATCAAATCTCTGAACTTCTCATGTGGTAGCAACCGTACACTCTTCTTGTGTGAGGATATTTTAGAAATGGAATCTGCAGCTCAAAAATTTGAGCAGGAATGTGGAACATTGGATGAGATTCATGGACAAACTTATAATGGTGAAGAATTATATTCTTATCCTATGTTAAATTCATTTAAACGAGCTGATGTGGATGGATACACTCCTTATTGCAAGATAGAAGTGCAGTTGAATTCTGAATTTACTACTGCTGCTGCTTCTCTTTGTCGCTTGGGAGAAAATGAGGGTGTTTCCTGTAGCCAACCTACTCAAAGTTGTATCACCGAAAACCATAGACCTGAACCATCAGATCCTTCTCTCTCTTGTGAAGCATCAACTCTTTGTTCAGTTGTAGACTACAATGAATCATTGTCCACAACTAGCCATGTAAGATCTGATTTCGAGCTCAACTTATCCATTTTTCGAAATCATAGTTTACATCACAGTGAGTTCTTGTTTAGAATAGCCATGTTAACAAGTATTAAAGAATAATGGTTGATATAATTTTCTCTAACAGGTACAAAGAAATTCAAGTTTTGAGCAGTCCTCCGAAATTTCTGTCTGTGCACTTGAAACATCGCCTAACAATTGCTCGAGTACATCTCCGGGCAATATACGTGCATTGGAGATCACCACAATATTAGAACAAGAAAGTGATGATTCTGATGCAGAAATTTTTAGGGTTAAGCGTCGCCCTCTGAAGCTAAATAAAAAGACAGGGAGCGATGCCACATCTTTAAAGCATTTTGCTGGCCAGGTACTGTTAGCCGTTTTGTACTCTCATAATTGATTTGTCCTGAAATTCGAGCTTAAAGGTGAGAAATTAGGGTTTGTTTGCGTGTATTTCCTGAAAATTAATTTATGACGATTTCTCTAAACTTGTGCTAACTGGAAATGTACTTTTTGTCTTTTTTCTTTGGGGTCTTAAATTTTTTTATATGCTTTGAATATTTTTAGCTTTTTGGTACAAAAAGGCGTTAATTATTGAACATCATGCAATCTTTAGAAAATACTTGAAAATAATGAAATATCTCTTACTATTATTGCCAAGTCTACTTGATTAACTTGCTTTCCTGTCGCCATAGTTGCACTAAAAGTTCCAGCTCTTAAATTTGGGATATGTTCATCATTATTGCAGGATGGCCGCAAACGATTGAAGAGACTCCAAACAAATGGGAATTCTGAGCAACTAACGCCATGGGATTGTCGTGGAACTGACAAATCACGTTGTAAATTCTACCCTTCTACTACGCATAAAGACTCTGCAAGTGATGCGATCGGTAAATCTAGCAAAGGGACCATTCCCATCTCTGCGAAGTACAAGAGATTCATCGACGAGAAACTAGTAAATAGACAGCGCGACTATGAACTTGACAATCACAGGAGGGAAAGGTTTCAGCATGAGATGATGAAAAAGCCCAAACGGCTACCTCCCTCTATGGAGATTGGGTCAAAGCGTCTCAAAATCAGAGGCCCAACATTCTTGGGGCCGGATGAACCAATAGTTTAATGCATCACAATGGGCCTGAAGCTGGGCTGCGCTGGGCCTTGCCTCTATTTCTGTACAGCAGCATATGATAGAGCCTTGACATAGCTAATCTTATTCTTCACTAATGGGGGGTTCTAACAACACACGAAGGAAGAAGCCATAGATGAATTTGATGATTAATCTTCTGGGAGCAGTGATACAAAATTTAACGTCTAGGAAGCAACATTTTAACATTCTTTGTGCAGGCCTTAAAAAATCGAGGCCATTTGCACACACGGGTGGTGGTGATGATGATTCTTGAAGGTAACCCAAGTCGGTACAGAGCCATTTATCCGCCGTCCTGGGAACAACCTTTGCTGCAGCAGCTGCTCTGCTTTAAGCAGGTAGATGGTTTAGTCAAATTTGACGTCCAGTTAAATTTTTTTCCTTATCCTCATCTCCATTTTTGTGAGGTAAGTGGGGATTCCCACGTACTTCATTTCAAGAAAAAAAAAAAAAAAGATGATTCATAGTGTTCTTCGCTGCTTCCATTTTCACGTTCTTTATTCTTTTCTGTAGCAACGGGTACATGTACCTTGGACTACTCGAATAAAATGCAAAGAAGTTTCTTCTTTGTTGTCACTTGTAGGCAACACATAGAATGTAGACACAAAACAACAGTAGGTTTTCTTTCTGAGGGGAATTGCTTTTGTCTTTCCTTAATCCATTTGAATTGGTATAAGAATGTGAAGAATATTAACCATTGTCAATGGATGCAGAGAGACAATTGGGGTCTCATATTCTTGTGGGGGCAAAAGGCAAAGCGCTGCTCCCAATCAATCCCAGGTAAAGGACATTATCTGAGTGAATGAATTGGTCATATTATTTTATTCTGTTTTGGGGATGGATGATTGGTTGCGTGGGACAAAACTATCCCCCACTCCCAATCATTTCCAACCTTTTTTTCCCCCTAAAGATGAAAAGAGAATATATCTATGGTTTGAATGGTGGGATGGTATGAAACCAGAATTTTTAGAATGAGAAAGGAACCTTTTCTTGCTTTGAAAATAGGTCATCAGTCCCCAATTATATGAGTGTTGGGTTATGTTAACTACCGCCACCACTGTCTTGGAGTTAGTCCACTATTTGAATTTGCTGTCTCTTGGTAACAACGCCCTCTAGTCTTCGTTGATTAGGTTTGTGTTCCTTGAGGTATATATATATAAATTTGGAGTTTCCAGTCTTAATAGAGAAAAGGAAAAAGGAAATAGAAAAAGAAAAAGACAAATCTGTAATGGTTTCTTTTCAAAAAGATATTGCGTGTGTATCTTTCACTAATTAATTTATTCTCTTCGCTTTCGCGTCGTAGTAGATTTATTGGATACGTAATTTGAGGTTTTAGCTTTTGGCACCACAAGTCTTTGCAAAAGATTCAAAATGTTTCATCTTTTGTTTTTGTTTTTTGTTATCTTACTTTATTTGCTTAAAATGTTGGCCATTCTATCACATCGCCAACTATCACCACCTTTGATTGGATAAACGCCAAAAAAAAAAAAAAAAAAAAAAAAAAAAAAAAAAAAAAAAAAAAAAAAAAAAAAAA